TTTTTTGATTCAGCTGGGATCTTTGACAAGCATATAGACAATGTTTGTAAGTCGGCATCTTTTTCACTGTGGAGAATAGGGAAGATTCGGAATTTACTAAATATAGAAACAACTACAAAATTAGTTCATGCTTTTATTACATCAAAATTAGATTATTGCAACAGTATTCTTTTTGGGGTGAGTGACAGCAAATTGAAAAAAATCCAATTGATTCAAAATTCAGCGGCCAGATTAGTTAAAAAGATAAGGAACCAGAGCTTGGATCATATCACTCCAGTGTTAAAGGAATTGCATTGGCTGCCAATCAAACAAAGAATTTTATTCAAAGTGTTGTGCATAATTTTTAGAGCTTTTAAAGAAAACACACCTGGTTATATTGCACATCTTATTCAGTCATCTGAACCACGCAGGTTAACAAGAAACTCTTTTGAAAACAATTTTATACTCAATTACTGTGAAATAGACAGAAAATGCAACAAATTCTATGGAGACCAGGCTTTTACTGTTTATGCTCCAAAATTGTGGAACAAATTGCCTTTTAGTATCAGAGCTGAAAGTGACTATAATACTTTTAAAGCCTGTCTTAAAACTCATCTTTTTAAAGAATTTTATGGTTAGTGTTCCTTTAAACCTTTTAGTTGTTTATCATTCATTAAGAATGAGCTTGGGTTAATTTTAGAAGTATTTTAAAGTTATATCAATAAATTTTCTCTGCTTTCTTTAATTAATTTTATCAGTAAATGTTAAAGTATTTTAGTATTGTTATTTTTAGACTTTTTTTAATTATTTGTAAAGTGCATTGAAATGTAAAAGATGGAATGCGCTATATGAGAAATAAATATTATTATTATTATCTTTTCAGTGTCTATTAGGGCATTATTTTGCCATTATTCGGCCATATTTGAATTTGCACATTAATTAGTGCTGAGAGAAATGTATGGTTAGATAAGAGAAAAATGAACTATTTGATATTGCTCAGATTTAAAGCGTAAAAAAGAAATAACTGGTTGAAAGGTAGATAGACGTATTAATAAGATACACTGTTTCTTTGCTTATTTCATTCCCTTAATAATAAGAAAAGTGATACACTATATAAACATACACATATGAAACATTTTGATACAACCTACGCGGTGAACAAAACCTCAGTGTTTAATACAACTGGTATCATGCAGCTTTATATTTTATATTTTCTAACCACAAATAGGTGAGCACAGTGACAGGTGGCTTATATGGCTAGATAAATCCCATGATACTTATTCGTTCGATTTCATCCAGCGCTTTAGCAAAGAGCTTCAACAAAGGGTCTTCAAAGGATAATACAGACTTTTTTGGAAATGCACTTAATTTTTTGACCACAAATGTTGTAAATGGCCATGAGGGTGACATGGATAGAAACGTGTTGATCATTAAAAAATTAAGTACTGGAATTTAAAGAAATGTCCCTCAGACAGAAACGTATTAATGGAGAGGCGGCCGTCGAGCAGGAGCCTGGAATGTGGAGTGAGAATAAAACATTCACACACAGTAAGGTTGATGTTACTGAGGCAAAGGAAGTCCTATGGATGAACATTTAAGACACTGGATTTGGCATTTGAAACTAGACCAGGTGTGACAGAGATGGTAGTCTGCTAGGAACCATAGTCTGTCTCCCATTACTTTGCGGCATGCGTCTTATGTAGTAACCGCAATACTCCGACTAACATTAAACTGTGCTAGTCATAAGGTAGCCGGACTTCCATTCCTGACATACCGGTGATGTCGTTACTTTACTGGGGGACAAATTTTAATTTGCACTTTGCTCATGAGTGTAGCTGTTAGTATAAACTGTAAAGGGATGCAATGTTGTAAACGAAATAATTATGTGTAGGGAGGTTGTAAAGGTAAAGTGACTGGCAGGGGGTAAGATTAAAAGGAAATATAAACATATGTAGTGACATTGTCGTGAGAAACAAAACAAAAAAATAATAATAATAATACAGAGAAAAGAGAGGGCAATTAACATATTAAGAAAACTTATTCATGGCCAAGGGCATTGAAATAACCTTGTTAAATTTTGTCTATAAAACAGGTGCCTGCGATCACATTAAAATACTGAGTATACGAAATGTATGCCTTTTTTTGGAAAAGGCCCGTGGCTGCGAGCCTGAGATAAGGTCGTTATCCAAAATATTATACTGTTAATCATATTCCTTATATAAGAAATGACCAATTTTCCGAAAATACAGTGTTCCGTTGGACTTGTTTTTACATATTTCATCTACATAGAAGATAAAACGTAATTAAAGCGGTTTATTATGCAGGCAAAAAGGATTTGATTTGCAAAACATACGGGCAAAAAGAAACTTTTGGCGCATAAACTTCATTAAATATGCGACGTCTTTGCTATTTTCCAAACTTTTTGCTCCAGCTCTTAAACAGTAATTAAAAAGCTCGAGATAAAAAGAATACATCGGCGGTTTAGACGTCAGTGCTGTGTTCGTATTTTAATTAAGTCTCATCTTACTAACTGGTACTGATGATGATCGATGTACTGGGAAAAACACTTGGCCTAATTTTCAATCCCAGCCCTCCTCGGTGTGTGTGTGTGTGTGTGTGTGTGTGTGTGTGTGTGTGTGTGT